AGCCGCTGCCGGCGCAGCCTCTTACCATGTCGGTGTAGATATCGATAGCTGCATTTAAGCAGTTGATGGCCTCTGCAGTGTGAGCAGTCAGGAAAAACAACAAAGTCATCCAGCATGTCAGAAATCCCAGCCTGAGACCTCCCCCCCTCCGAAAATCAGATCTCGGGAAGGTTTCTCTTCATCAAACCACCCACCAGCTGCTTCGATAAATACCTACTCACACACATGGGTACGTCTGGAAGGACAGACACAGCATTCCCAACCCCTGGGACCTACAGATGTCGCACTCCTGCCTTTCTGCACCTGCAGATCTGACCCTGATTCACCCAACGCCAACACCCCCATCCCGCCGGCAGCTTGCCGGTTCGCCCGGGCAGGAACTGCGACGCTGAAAGGTAACGGGCAAAAATTAGGATGGGCAAAATACCAACGATGTGTACCCCGGGTTTGTCCAGCTGCATGCTCAGATGGAGCAAATCTCAAAATGCCGATCTCATAAACACGCCGGGGCTGCTGTTTCCTGGGAAGTTTGGGCGGTTTGCAGTCACAAACCACAACAACCAGCCCGCAGTTGAGTTTCTGCAGCCCCCCAGCACAGGGGAGCCTGGGTAACGGCAGTGGGCTGGCTGGTGTGCTTCCAAACGCCCCGCTGGGGCAAGGGCCATCAGAGGTCTTCCAGAAAACCACAACCCTGCTCTTTGCCACCAGATTTAAAGAATCCAGATCCCTTATCCCCATCCCGCCAGAGGTCGGTCCCTTTTCCTCCCGCCTCGCCTCTGCCCCAGGAAGCCCCTAGAGGGGGCTGAGGGCGGGGACCCCGCTGTGATCCAGACCCGCTCCTTGGGAACGCGCATTTCTCCTAAACCAGGACAGAACCGCCTCACCCCCAGCGCGCGGCAGCGTGCCAAAGCTCCGCGTGGGTTCTGCACCTCCAGACGACACCCCCACGCGTGCCGGTCTGTGCGGCAGACGGCAACCATGCCGACGAGCTGCCATCACCTGAGGATGCTTTGGAGGCGCAGGAGGGATCCCAGCTTTCCAGCCGGGATCCGCAGGCTACGGAAAGCCTGGGCGCGCCGCCTCCTCCGCCACTAAGCAGCTTTACAAGCCCCAATCCCGGATTTCACAGCCCTTACCTTGCGGGTCGGCTTTTTTGTAGGCGTTGCCGGCGTCCACGAAGCTGGTGGCCGAGTCGTGTTTGCTTTGCAGCTGCATGTGCAGCTTGGCCGCCTGGCAGAACGCGTTTCCTGCGGCTGCGAGAGAACCACAGCGACCCCGTGGACCCCTCCGACCTCCAAATCCACCGGATTTCACATCCCACCCCAGGGTATTTCCTTGCTTGATGAGCAAGTCCCGGGCAGTGCCCGGTTCTCATTTTAAAATGGTAAATTTACCGTCACAAGCATTCAGTTTCCCCCCTCTGCCCACCCTCCCAAAATTTCCACCATCGCAGGGCAGAGCAGAGGAACTGCATCCCTGCGGGAAGAGCCTGGGATGTAGGATGCTGGCGGGTCACCCCGGCGTCCGCAGCCCCCCAGCAGCGGGGGCTCTACTCACCGCTCCAGTTTTTGGCGATCTTGAACATGTTGGCAGCCCTGGTGTACATCTCGCAGGCTTCCTCCACCCTGGTGTTCCCCCTGAAAGGCAGCGAGAGGCTCTGACACCCCACGGAAAGGGGGGCCGAGCACTGAAATGGGGCTGGGGGTACTACAGCCCCCCTGGGCTCGGGGATGTGACCCCCCTGGGCCAGACGAGGCTGACAGCGCTGATTTTAAAAAGCAGCGTGAGCAGCAGGCTGCTGGGAGGGCGGAAAGCTCGTTCCCCAAATTGTTCTGAGCCTGGAGCGAGCCCCCAGCTGCTCTTTGGGTCGGGTCCCTCCTGTTTTGGGCAGGAGCGACCCCAAGAGTCTCGGGAGACACTCAGCAAAAACGCCGGTGAACAGCAAACTCGGGACTTGACCAATTCAGGGAACAGAAAACAAATCCGAAATTACGAGCCGCTAGACGCCGCGAAAGAATGACCCAACGCCAGCCGGACTGCTGGGGATCGGTGCCGTGACTCGGCTCCCCAGACGCAATGAGTAGCGATTAATTTATCTCCAGAGAGGTCCAATATTTTTAAAACATTTCTTATTGCCATTTTTTCTGCCCTTCCTCCTCCTGGCAGCCGACCACATTTCATTTCCAAGCACAGAAAGGTTTTCTGGACCGCTCTCGCCCTTGAAAAGCGCCTTTGGCACCAGCTAAAGCCAGAGGTAACGCTACACCCGGCGAGGTGTCCAAACCAGGGCCACTCTCAGCCTTTTAGTACCAAAAAAAAAGAAAAAAAACAGCAAAGCACTAATGGAGCTCTTCAGGAAAAAGCCCGACCGGGAAGATGCCCGGAGCGAAGCCCCCCACCACCTCCCCCTCCACGCTAAAAGTGATTTTTTTCTTGCGTCTATTTTTAGCCTGAGAATATTAGAAATTTGCTGCTGGAAATCTCTGCCCGTTCACTCCAAGGATTTTCGCCCGTTTGCCGCCCGGATTACGCCCCTGGAGCACGCCCTGCCCGATTAATCTGCCAAGGCCGGGGAGGAATTTATAAATAAAACTCGTGCTTCTCGGGCTGCGGGCAGGAGATTGTTGCTGAATAACAGCCGGGAACATCGAGGCCTCCGTGGGAGCATCCCTCCAGAAAAATGAAAAACAGCGAGCCACGCAGAAGCAGGCTGGCCTGCTGGCTTTGCAAACCCCTTCCCGGCACAGCTCGGGCACCCCCGGGAATATCTGCTTGGGAACAGAAAGCCGCAATAAAAAGGGATTTCTGCCTTTTCTGGGGGTGTCGCTCCCCGGCAGCCCTGTCCCTCCGGAGG